TAACAATAATACTAACAACAATAATATCAATAATAATAATAATAATGATAATAATAATAATAATAATGATGATAATGATGAACAATCCAGTATCATTTATTTGTTATTTCTGTTCTTTAACAAACACAATTACCCTTGATATCTCCTGATAATAATAAATTGACGTTGGAAGATAGTGTTTGTGGATGTGGAAGAAAAGAAAGTTGTGATGACATGCTACTAATCGGGTTACCTTAGATGCTAACCTGTTAGCCCACAAGCTAAAGTTTTGGTGTTCCAGTGGTCTTGGCCTTTTGAATAAAAACCCCCTCTTCTGTGCAGTGCTGGTCGGCTTTGTCTTTATGAACCTCTGTCACTGATATGACACAACAACAGTTCATATTTATTAAAGCTTTTACCTTTGTTCCAAACAAAGCAGATCCTCTGGTGCGCATGAAGCTATGTGTCATCCGCTCAGTTTCTCTGCAGCTTCTGGCATGTATTGCAGAGACGGAGCTAAACGCCACCTAAAGGAACCAAATCCATGGAAGATGAAACACTGGACACAGTCACTGTCAAGGGATTTTTGCAGATGCTACTTCTTAAATGTAATCAGTGATTCTTTTAAAACTGACATCCACAAACTTTGTTTTACATATTTGTGTAGCTGCCATTTGCCACGTGTGCTTGGAGTGAGGTACCATCACTGTGTCTCCCATTTACATTTACTTCTATGTCCTCTACACTCTACACTCACTAACTAAAGAGAGAAGAATATATTCATAGTAAGCACTAATATCCTGTGGTCTTGTGTTAAATTTGAAGTGCACTCAGTGGCTAGCTCTGCTTTCACTAATGCTGTTTTATATAAAACCAATCTCTATGAAAGCCCTGCGCCTCCCACACACATGAACAGTCCTGACCTCCCCTCTCGCTGCATGGTGAAAGCGCTCCCCTCAATTTTTTTCTTGTTACATCGTTTTCCATCTCCTTCACACATAACCACATACACACTGCTGCAGGACTGCATCACACAAGAATAAACAGATGAGTCCTATAATGTCGTAACACACAACTTTCATCAGCTCAGGTTGCTCTGCTCTATATGGGTTGTTCTGTGCTCTGAGTGATTTACAGTGACTGCATTGAATGATGGCAAGGAGTGACAGGTAAACCTCGGGCCATTTGGCGTGGTGACCGGAGCCTGGTACGGACAGTTTGCAGGGAGCGGGGAGGCAATAGCTCCCCTTTTGGCCTTTTTTACTGTCAGCTAAAGTGAGGAAAGGCAGGTCAACACTTGGATCACACACACACACACACACACACACACACACACACACACACACACACACACACACACACAAAGATTAAGAAAAAAAACACTGCTTCCCTTGCAGTGGTGCTATATTGGGACAGGTTCTGCTCGATATGGAGGTCAGCAACAAGAGACTACAGGCAGTGCGAGTGAAATCAGTGCTAACCAAGACTGCCCTATTGATTTGATATTAATGAAATGTACTAATATGTAAATATTAAAAAAGAAATGGTCCTCATAGAATCATAGTTATTTTCTCTTTTTTTACAGCTTTGATTATAATTATTAATTTCACATGTTGATTTTCAGATTTGAACCCCCCCACCCCGATATACATGACTGGGGCCATTTAAGAGGATGACAAGATTTCTATACTGAAATTAGATATTACATCCATGATTAATCAGTTAATCTATTGTCGACAGACAAAGAAATAATCAGCAATACTTTTGATAATCTAAAAAACATTTAAGCCAGAAAACATTTTTGGTTGAAGCCTCTCTTTTCTTTATTTGATATGGTAATTTTATTCTTTTCTGGCATTTAATAGACCAAATGATTTATCAGTTAATCAAGAAAATGTATCAACAATGAAATTGAAATTAAAAATAAAAGGATTTTCCTGTGATTGTTTTATGGTTGTAACAATGTTTCAGTTACCATGTGAAGGTCAAATAGTAAAAAGAAAAAAACATCATTCACAGGTGACCAACACTGTCCTCTAGAAATTACATTTTAAACTGCATCAGCAACTACATTTTGTAGGAAAGTTAATCTCATTTCATCTTTATCATCATTATGTTCATTGGCAACATATTTATTTGAATGAACAAAGTGTTGCATCTCTTGGTTTGGGTGGCTGGTGGGTGTGTGAAACTTTTGCTCCAGAGACCAGGGTTTGCATCCAGATGTGTATGTGGTTAGATTTAGACAACAGCAGCTCTTTGGTTAGGTCATGTTAGTGAAAGATGGTGGTTTAGGTTAAAGGTGAATAAAAAGGTTTGTGAACTTTTTCTTTATTATATAATACAACCAGACCAGGATCTCTGACCTGACCCAGGATCTGTGACAGTCAGAACAGAACCAGGAAACAGGTTCATAAAGCTGGAGTCACTACAGGCGGATGTGAGATCAGATAATATGGTGGAAAACAAACAAGTAGTCCGTGAACATTTTACAAATATGTAAATTACCAACACTTCCTCATGAGGTTTTAAATGTATCCAGTCACAATCATGTTTCCTACAAAAGGTATTTACAGATTAGTAAATCTACGACTGACAAACCAATGAAGCCAGACTGCAGGTTGACACATCAGCAGTATGTTACTTGGCTTCATCAAATTAAGAAAGTGTAAGGGAGTGTGTAATGTTCTCCCAAAGCTGCTCATCTGCTCAACCACTCAAGCCCCTTTCCCTCTTCCCTACAGGAAGGCTAATAACAGACATGTAAGTAGGCAGCATGACCTGTTCTGCTGCACATGTAGTTTATTTGCTAGGGGCGCAAACACGTCTGCAGTGCTCCAGCCCAGGGAGCAACAATCTGACAAGCAGCGCAGACCTAATCCAGGCCAGGTCTGGGGCAGTGTTTGGTATGCATCCCTTAGGTATGGAATAAATACAAGGCTGGTAAGACGATCTGCCTGCCCGGACAACTGCAGGAGAGTGGAGGGCGTTACATGCCTTGACGGGATGTCTCTTATCCATATATGTAACCTCATAACATTTTGAGCTTTTCACAAATAAGAACAGCTTTGATCTCCTGTGGAAAGTAATGCAGTTTTAATGTCCAACTTCAAGGGCCATTAGCTGCATTTTTATCAGTTAGCAAGGCTGCTCGGCAAATTTCTGAATGTCAAGTCAGGGGGGTGTTGCTTGCCTGGAGGTTAGAGAAGCCACTTTGTGATTGGAGAATTGTCAGGTTGAGCTCCTCACCAGGAGAATGTGGGTGGACTCTTCCCTCGCTGCAGCACTTCAGCTCAGTTGAGTTACCTTTGAGCAAGGCACTGAACCAGAGAAAGACAGGAAGTATGAAAATGAGATTATACATGAATCTGAGGAGTGTGAGAAACATGCTGTGAAGTTGAAGCTCTGGGTAAATTAAGGTTTTCATGAAAAAAAAAACGAAGGAAAGTCTGTTTTGCACTTTCTACTCAGTGAACCTTTAAAGTGTGTCTCCACCTGGTGGCAACCCCCCCCCCCCCCCCCTTAAGCTGCACGGGTTAGAGACCAGGTGTACCTGTTTAAACTTGCTGTGTAATTTGTGGATTAGCAGATGCCTCTAATGGCTAAAATCATCAGAGTTTCGCTTCTGACACAGAGGAGAGATGTGAGGGAAGAAAGAACACAAAAACAGAACAGTAAACTAAGCTCTCCTCTATATGAATTCACCATGAGCTGAGTAGACACACACTTATGGAAATCATAACAAACATATTTACATTGAGCGGCAGCTGCTTTAAAAGCTCCTCTCTCATGTCTTTGTGTCACAGTTACCATTTTTAAAGGTGTAACAGTATCAAAGTCAAGAGTCAACCTGTGGTTAACTCAGTCAGTTAACAGATTGACTTTGATCTTGATCTTCAATATGTATTTTTGAAAAGTCTGAAAGGTTAAGAAAAAAAAACAAAAAACATGAATGCCTCAATCACCCAAAGTTAATTGCTCAAGATGATTAATCCCAAAATTAATCAATATTTTTCACCCTTATATGACCAGTCACACAAACATGATGCGAACCTCTTCCATCTCTATCCTCCATCCAATCAACATGGCACAACTCCCTTTTTGTTTTTATGGTGATTCAATTGGAGGAAAACAGGATCTGCTCTTTTTTATTTCCTATATTCACTGTATGATTTATGTTAAGCTCCAAACACATACCTCCTTTGTTACCATGGGTACTGCATTTGTTCTGCTACATGTATGTAGCTGTAAAACAAGGGGCTGTATGTTAGTAATTTCTTCTTTTTTTGATTCCTTACGTTGAGATATATTTACATTTTTTTCCTGCAAACTTAAAATAAGTTAAAGTTGTCAGATGCTGTTGTACAAACATTCTTTAAAAGTTTTTAATGCTCATCTCAGTCTGTTCTAAAACAGTATTGAAGTTTGATCCCATCCCAAGGAGCACATACTCCTAAAGATAACACGGGTTTAATTTTTGTCATGTGTGAAGTCCCCCTCTTCCAGAGAAACACTCAGCACAGACACTGACACATTCCTAACAGCACAAGGCATAACTTGTTATGGAGGCTGTTCACAGGACTGTGTTAAGGTAAATCCACACACACACACACACACACACACACACACACACACACACACACACACACACACACACACACACACACACACACATACACACACACTGGGCTGTGTGCACTGAGAGGGGTAGCGTTCATTTAGGGCATTACTCAGACGGAGAGAGAGAGAGGGGAGAAGAGGGAGAGTCTCCCCTGACTGCATTAGGAGAGCCTCCAGCCTTTGTGATTCCTTTTGATCAAATCTCTGTGAAAGATGAGTGTCATGCCCTCTTCCAGCCAGCTGTGAGGGGACTGCCCTGTGACTCTGAGGGGGTAGACGTGTGTGTGTGTGTGTGTGTGTGTGTGTGTGTGTGTGTGTGTGTGTGTGTGTGTGTGTCTGCATGCGTGAAAGAGCATGTACACCTCTATGTGTGCATGCAAGTGTGTGTGTTGTGTGCACAGGATAGGGAGGGAGCAGGCAGCTCCTGAGGTGAGAATGCTGAGTGGGAGGATCTCATTCCAGCCCCCTGTGCCCAGTTTCAACACACACACACACACACACACACACACACACACACACACACACACACACACACACACACACACACACACACACACACACTCAACATCTTGAGTAGTTTAGAGCCAGTCCACAACAGCATGAGAGGAAAGAAAGCAGAGGAGTGTGTGTGTGTGTGTGTGTTTGGTGTGTGTGTGTGTAGTGAGAGTAAAAGCACAGTGACTTCTCTCTTTAGTAGAGTGAGTGTTGGTGGCTCGGTGTGTCTTCGTGTGTGAGAGCAGAGAGCAGCAGAGTACATGTGTGTCTGTGTTGTTGGAGGAGACGCTGCTGGGTGTGATGGCTCTTTTGCGTTAGTACTTGTGCGGGCAGGAGAGTTGTAGGCAGTTGTTTTGTGGGACTCGCAGGGAATGGCAAACTCCACGATATCCTTGGAAACATCTGACTAAATGATAATGGCCGAGGTAAGAGAGACGGCTTTCACTGCTCTTCTCTGTCTGCTCAGCTCTTCTCTTTCACACTGCCTCCACACAGGATCAGGACGGCTTTAACAAAGACAAACTGGAGGGAGTTCATGTGGATCGCAGTGACAGGCAGGAGCAGACTTTACTGTTGAGATGTGTAGAGATGTTTTATAATTCATGATAATGTAGATGTGCATTTGTTAGTTGATGTATGACATGCTGGTGTAGTTTTGATTGTACATATATATATATATATATATATATACACATATATATGTATATATATATTTGCTTTAGGATTTGTTGCTACATAGTTATCTGTAGGCTTCTGTTTCATTGTCATTTTTTTTGGTATAAGTGCCAAAATTCAGGTCTTGTATATGAGTTTGTTTTTTTTTTGTTTGTTTGTTTTTTTGAGAATTTATTTTTTCCTGCAAACTAACCCTTTTTTTTATTCATGTAGCAAAAGGGGCCAAAGTTCTCAAATGTGAAACGTCTGAGTAAAATAGTCTAAAACTGGCTAAATGTGAATTTAAGTTAAGGACAGTCTCATCAAAGAATAAATGAACACTCAAATCCAGTGTCTGGAAATTGAGAGTTTGTGAAAGTTTTGAAAACTGATCCAAAAATCAAAAATGTCTGTGTTTTAGTCGCTCTCAGACTCTTGAAATGTGTCTGTCTTATGTGACTAATGAACAAGTCAGAATGAGATGAGTTTGCCGCCTTCTCTGTGCGATTGTCCTCACATGCCTTCCAACAACACCACAGACAATGTCCAATAAAAACTGACAATCATTCAGGCTTCCTTCGCTTTAGAAAAAGTTTCTTTTCTCTTCTGTTTCATCCTCTTTTCTTAAATTATTGTGGTATAATTTATCTTTCTTTTTTCTACTCTATTTAGTAAACTTTAGCAGAAAGAGCCCAGGTCTTACCTGGGCCTGTTCTCCATCCACACATCTGTCCATCTGTCTGTCATTAGTTTGGAAAGCAGAGTAGCTTGTAGCCTCCTGCGGCTTCCTGTAGCTTTTTGTAGCCTCCAGTAGCCTCCTGTAGCCTCCTTTGGCCTTGTGTAGCCTTCTTTGGGCTCCTGTAGCCTCTGGCCACAGCCTATTGGAATGTAATTTAATAATAGCCTAATGTTTTGTTGCAGCCATAATGTAACAATTAGCTGAGCTGTCTGTGTAGTGGTGGTGTCGGTAGCAGCAAAACAAGCTCTCCGTGCCTGTGTGTGTGTGTGTGTGTGTGTGTGTGTGTTAAACAGTTGGAGGAGAAACAGTTGTGGTTTATTCCCTGTTAGATGGCTGCATGTCAGAGCGGAGCAGCATCTGAACAGGCCGCAGTCTAACTTGTGAAAATAAATGTGATGAATTAAGTGCAGGTTGAGCAGAAACTGTGTGATGATCAGAGCTGTGAAGCTGCAGTAGATGATTCTTTCATTTAGGTTTTTTTTCTATTGAAAGAAGGACTGAATTGTTTTACCACATTTTATATTAATTCATATAAATCTGAGACTGACTTTTTCAGACTTTTTGATGACATTTATTAACTTTGATGTAATCATAAGACTGCACTGATACACCTCATTGGCTGTTGTGATTCTATAATATTTCATCAGTGGTTTAAGGTAAATAAGGTTTAAATTCAGATTAAAAATCTCCATTATGAAAATAATATTTTGAACATTTAATAATGTATTGAATCATGACTGAGCTCTGCCACAAATGAGGTTTGTATTTTCTTCCTCTAACAAGTCGGCGTTTCCATTTTCTGATGAGTGAGGTCATTACTCTACCAATCCATGAGAGTGATGTGGACGCGTGTGTGTGTGTGTGTGTAAGAGACAGTTGAATGGCTTTGTGTAGCTCTCTTCTAACACAGTCATGTCCCATCTTCACTCCTGCTGCAGCTCAGGCTGTCTGTCTATTGTTTCTTCTTTCTACCTCCATCTCTTTCTGTGGGTGTCTCTCTGCTCTTCTTTAGTGCTGCAGGGCCCCAGGGCACTGTGTTTGTGTGTCAGAGTTGCGACTGTAGCCTGCCAACCTCGTCAGCTTCATTAGGTTCATGATGGTCCATCCATGAGAGGATGGATGTGTGTGTGTGTGTGTGTGTGTGTGTGTGTGTGTGTGTGTGTGTGTGCGTGCATGCACGCGCGCGTGTGTGTATCTGCTCCTGCCTTTTACCCCCTTCAGTGTCTCCTTGAGCTGTGATCCGCCCTCCTGGCCCCAACCTACCCCCTTAACAGCCCCAAACTCCACACACACACACACACTCACACACGCAGCAGCCTGCTCTGCGCTGCCACCAAAAAGGCTTGTGAGGATTTGTCAGCCAGATGTGACAACATTGTCAAGAGGCTGGTGAGCAGAGAGGGAGATCTGATATTAATCAGAGCGTAGCTGGGAGCCAAACTCTCTCAGACTCAGTGTACTAACATGTTCCCTCATTTAATTCCTCTCTGAGCCAAACACTCCCTCTAAGTTCCTAACAGGGAGCCACAGACACCAGGAAGCCAACCAAACGTTGGCTCACTTCTCCACCACCCACCCCCCACACCTCCACCCCACAAGCTCATCTCTTTGTCATTTAAGGTTTTTTTTCCTTAAAGAAGACAACCACTTTCTCATGGACACTCAGGTAAAGATCTGCTACCTTTTTGTTTGTTTTCTCTGCTGTGTGCATGTGTGTGTGTGTGTGTGTGTGTGTGTGTGTGTGTGTGTGTGTGGTGATTGACTGCTGGATCAGTTTGAAATAATGAGTTTTTCACGCTGTCTTTGGGCTGTATGGACTCTTAATAGGCTCAAACTCAGCCTGTCACTACTTGCACTCGCACAGGTTTTTCCTGGATTTGTCTTCTACTTTTCAGCCTCAGTGCTGTGTTGAAGGAACGCTCACACATTTTTCTTTTAATTTTATTTAATTTTAAAAACTACTACTAAAATGCAGTTTACTTTAAAGGCAGCTGTTAAATGGACGCAGGCTGGACGACTTCATAGCTCAGGGTCTGTATATAAAAAGCTAAGTGTTTTATTTGAAACTTGATGTAATGATTTTAGAGAAAATCACAAGTGAAGAGTTTGGACCTGCTGCTTCCTCTTCCTCAGTGCAATGGCGTTAAATCATCAGCTGAAGCGGGATCACGTCGCCTGCTGAGTTGCTCATGTTTTCTAACCTCACTTTTACTAACACTTGTCATCAATTAACATTTTACTACCTCGCTGTCACACACACAATTTGTTCCAAGGCGTGATTTATTCATGAGACTATGTTCTTCACTCATACCGCGCACATACACACACACACATGGTGCAGACGCAGTTGGAACGAGGTTTTATTGGTGGAGGTCTGTGTTATTAGCAGGAAATCAGAGTGGTACCAGCAGCACCGTCCTCCCTCCACATTCCTGAGTGTTTCTGTGCTCAGGCTGGAGACAACATTTATTTCTGCTGTGTGCGTCTGTGTGTGAATGTTCAGCTGTTCTTGATCAGTTTTTATTCTTCTTTTTGTTTTCCTTCAGTTTGACCATTTCAATATATGCTGCCCTTTAATATTGAATAATGAAACTGTTTTGAACAAGTTGAGTTGTTCAGTTGCTGTTGTTGTTGGATTTTTTTATTACAATCCTAAATTTATTTCAGTTTAATTGATATTCTGTAAACTGATCACATCATGTCCCTTTTATAACTTTTAAAATGGGTAATGAGTAAAATAAATTCATAGGTTAAATGGACGAAAAGCAATTTTTTTTTGTTTATTTTATACAATGATTAGTTTATTATAAATTATTTTGTTGATTGTTTTGCAGTTAATCAATTATGTGTTTTGTCAAAAACTAGAAAACAAAGGAAATGTCAGTTACAAGTTTCCAAGGTGACTTTTTTGTTCAACAAATCATAACCCAAAGAAAACTCTAATTTTATATAAAACAGAAAAAAATGGAGCAAATTCACACACATGAGAAGCTGGAACCAGTGAAAATTTAATTTTTTTTATTTCATCCATTAATCTATTTTTTTTGAAAAATGACTATTTGATTCCACAGACTGCACTATCTGATAAATCAGCCTTTATAAAGGTTTCATAAATTGTAACTAATTGTTTTATTCATGGTTAATAAATAATTTATTGATGCTTTATCAGTCATAAACCATTAACCTGTAAATTCAGTTTTTTTTCTCATTAATGTCTTATACCTTATTTATAAAACATGGGTAAATTATTTATTAATCATTACTTACATCTCATTAAACTCTCATAAAGGTGCCATTGTAAAAAATGGTATCAACTGATTTTAATGTTTATGTGCATAGTGTTTATGGGAAAGTGACAAGTGAATATTACAAACTCTCCAAAATCCTAAAGAAAACAATTATTAGTAATAATAATGATAGTAAATCAAAATGTTAATTTGATGACACCTGATCTCAGAATGGGGTTTTTTGAGGAAAGTCACCTGTTTTCAAAAAATCAGTTTTAAGTTGCAGGTGAATGGTAATAATCTGAGTCATTTCTATTTCCCGGCAGGAAAACTCTCACTTCTTTTATTTCCCATGAGCCATAATTGTCTTGTTAACTGATTAATGGCTGATAGTAAAATCTGATCCCGTCTCAGTCGGCCATCAGGCTCGCTCGTCCTCAGAGCTGCTGAGAGCTCGGCTGTTATTCACTCTTTGGCACCAGCACTGCTCATTTCCCCACTGAGTGTCAGTTAGTGCAGGGCTGCTGCTAATTGATTAGTTTTCCACCGCATTAGGCCAACAACTCCTGTCCATCCCTGAGCCGTCTCTGTCCAGGCAGCTGTTCACTTCTGCTCTGTCTCTAAAGCTCTGTGGCTGCTCACAACATATGGCAGGACTTTATTTTAAGAGCCAGAAAAGACTATTTCATTCTATTGCTTGTGTGTGTGTGTGTGTGTGTGTGTGTGCGTGCGCGCGCGCGAGTGCAAGTGTGTCTGAAGGATGTTATGGCTGTTATCCCAGCGGTGGGATGGAGAACATAGCTGTTTTTCTTTCTTTCTGTCTGATTCTGGCTCAGATTGTAAATTGTGCTTTTTCTACATTAGATCCAGAAGTTGTGCATCTACCAGTCACTACATACATTTACATTCTATTAATGTGTTTTCAGAATTGTTAGATAGTAGTGTTACACCGCACAGAGTGGAATGAGGGAGCAAAAGTGATCATGTCATGAATAATTCAATTAGAAATCATTATGTTAACAGATAGTTAAACCTGATGGAGCCAGTCAAATCCATCACAAACATCACCAGTGTCTCATCTGTGTGTGTGTGTGTGTGTGTGTGTGTGTGTGTGTGTGTGTGTGTGTGTGTTTGTGTGTTATCACTCAGGAGTTGTCATGATATACAGATGCTGTTTTCATGTGGCCCCTGCCTTCACTTCACTTAACCTCATACTTTTCTCTTTTCTTAACCTCACCTTCTCCCTCTTTAACCTCCATCTGTCCCACACAGCCTGACCTCCGACTGCACACGCTCCACAACAGCAACCACACAAACACAGCCACTGAAGACTGACGGCAGAATTCACATATTCAGTAAATATATTCACTGAATATGTGAATTCACAAAGTGGAGCTGCCAGCACCAAACAAATTCATACAAACAGAGACACTATAGACTAAGAGACGGAGAGAAACCGAGGCTGTGTAGTGTAGGTTCATAGTATCAGATGCAGTGACTTTCAAAATGTATTTTTATTCTATGATATTGATGGACGTGATTTCAACAGCATTTAATTCCTCCCTGCACGTTACAAAATTATAGTTCTGCTTGGAGTTCGCTCAGTTGTCTCTTCACATGACCTGAGTAAACCTACAGTACTTGAAGTTAAGTTTTTTTTTTGACCTCACAGACGAGAGCAGCTCTGAGTTCATAAAAATGTTAATGCTCATCTGGTTGCCTTTAAGTTTCACCACACACGCTCTAGCAGCAGTATTAAAATTCATCTCTTGTGCCCCGGGTTTTGCCTTTCAGGCACAATGCTAGCGCTGCGCTAACTCCCAGTCCCAGTTTCAACACAACAGTCTGTTTGTGTATTTGGTCATAAATGTAAAGAATGATTCTAATTAATAATACAGCCATTTAAAATAGCATTTCTAATTGTTCGTCAAAACAAACCTGCACCATTTGTCTTTTATTTAACAACATGTAGGTGCGCTATGAAAATGCTAATTAGAGGCATGTGTAATATATTGAAGGTGAGTGTAGAGGTGGTGGTGAGGTGATTTGTGGCAACACTGTTGTACATCACAGAAATAAAGGAGGTGACCCTGTGTTAGCTTTGGCTTCAGAAACACTGACCAGCCGCATCGTTCTGTACAATTAGTCCTTGTGTCATTGACTTCACTGATGTGTGTTAACAGCCACAGCTTTGGTGTGACAACAGTCAGGAGGAGGTGGTGAGGGGGTGTGGGATAGGGGGTGGGTCACCAAGAGCCACTGTAGTGCTGGCCTCCTCTTCTTATCTTCTTCTTCTTCTCTGCTAACCTCTAACTGCTAATTAAGATAAATGTCCACGAGTACACTGTACATTGTTGTGTGAGTGTGTGTGTGTGTGTGTGTGTGTGTGTGTGTGTGTGTGTGTGTGTGTGTGTGTCAGTGTGTGTGTGCACGTGCTTTGACTGAGATGTGTATTAGAGGCAGCAGCAGCAGGAGGTGTGTATGTGCCCACAGTGGGATGGGATTAGCCTAATTGGGTCGTGTTGGTTCTCGGTGCTCTGTAATGATGGGATTATGAAGCCCAGAGATGAGCAAAAGGGTTTTTATACCTTACCACTGTCCAGAGGAGGCCGAGCTGCCCAGCTGGAGATGAGAGCCGACAGAGAGGGTGATAGAGAGAAACGGATGTCATGGGACTGAAGGCCAGAGCTACCACACTGTGCTTCAAGGCCAGCTCACTGCCGCCACCTTCATCTGCGGTCAGTTTATATGTCCTAATGATGAGGGGTTATTGTGAGGTGAAATAATGTGATTCCAGATCTCAAGGACGAGTCCAGCCTCGAGCACAGAACCCAGAAAACGACTAAATGAGGAGGAGGAGGCCCCCTACCCATCCACCCACCCACACTTTTGCTCCTTCTCCGCCCGTGGAGAGGGAGTAAGCTCCAGCGAGGAGCTAAGCATGCTGCTCATGTATACTAAAACCCCACTGATCATGCATTATAGATGCAGAGGGAGAGCAGTGCCGCAGCACAGCCACTCCGAGGTTTTCAGCATGTAGCGCTAACAACACGACTTTGATCATGACTCTGATGATGCTTTTCCCTCAATTCCTGGTGTGTAAATGTTTTTTTGTCCGAGGCGGAGAGACGGGGGAAGCAGAGTCATTTTCAGTGTGTCACTGTAGCGGAGTCCTCTACGCATGGTCGGTGCCAAGTCAGCAGCTGCACACAAAACTTGACCCTTTACTGTCACTCACTCCAAGTCTCTGTCTGAGGCCCAGCTCAGCTCCGCCCACTCTGCTCCTCTGCATGTTCGTCCTCAAAAGATAAAACCCATTAGCAATTGAGCTAACAGACAGAGTATTCTGACCTGTGTGTGCGTGTGTGTGTGTGTGTGTGTCTGTGTCTGTTTGTATGCCTTAGGCATTGATTGATTGAGATAGTTTTGCTGGTCCAGGTGTGTCTGAGACCTCTTGTTACTGTAGAGAAGACCTGCCCTGCAGCACTACTGACACACACACACACACACACACACACACACACACACACTTTTCTTTCAGAGGGTAAACCAGACTGAGTAATACACAAAGGGAGAGCAAAAATACTTAAGGCAATCATGCTCTTTCTTTCAGTTTCTGTGGCGATCTTGACTGTAGACTTTACATTTTTCATGTAGCTGTGTCTGATGAGCAGAGCTACAACCACACACACACACACACACACACACACACACACACACACAGTTACAGGAGGATGAGAGTGCTGCTGTCCTGCACATATAGAAATGTGACTTTAAAACTTTGAATATATACAAAATATAAAGTGGGCTGAACATCAATAATGTCAAGTCTCTGTCAGATGTTTAGAAGAGCTCTGCCTAAACAGAGCGGCGCTTTCTACCAGCTGCTCACACTGTGAAGATTTCACACTTTCCAACAACACCATATACTGTATATCGCAGTGACTTTTGGTGAAATGTGAATAAAATGACACAAGACATTTACAATATTCTCATTTTGGGGTGGAGCAGTGTGGCCTCACAGCAACAAGGTTGTGGGTTTAAACCCTTGTTCAGTCGAGGTCCCCAGGCTTCCTCCCACAGTCCAAAGACCTGCAGGTTAGGTTTAGGTTAATTGGCGACTCTAAATTGCCTGTAAGTGTGACTGGTTGTTTGACTCTTCTTATCTTACTAATTGTTGTATGTGTTTTGTTCACAGGCTATCTGCTGCACCTTGGTGAACTGTAACTGTGACAGCTTCAAGCCTGGGAAGCTGAAGAGAAGACAGTGTGAAAACTGCAAACATGGCTGGGTTGCACACGGTAAGAGCTCACTGTTCATGTGTCCAGGGTCTGTCTCAGGCCATCACAATGGAGGTGGATGGTTTTAATTTGCACCCACAATGTAGAGAAATGACTCAACAGCAACATGTCTTCAGAAAACAGTCCTAGTCAGAATATCAGGAACTGTTTTATCAATGGAAAGATTCAATACAAACTGTTGACAGGAGTTCTGTGGATTATCCAGAGCAAACAGGTTAGACAAAGTTATTGTTCTGCAAGTCTCTCACAATTAAGTCTTGCGTGTTAAAAGGGTCTTTTAGCTCCTTCTCACTGAAGCGTCAACATTACACCGATCCTTGCTGTGCTTCACTGGTTCCCTGTGAGTTTTTTTGTGTACTTATTTATTTGATAAGGACGTTGCAATTTAATATAATTTCTAGACAACGCATGAAACTAATGTGTTGCACAGAGAGTTTATCGCTGTCGCTAATTCTTGACTTCTATAATCTATATGTGGAGTTTATTTCAGCTGGTGATGTGTTCCAGAGTTGTCAGCCCATTATTGAGAAAGCCAATTTGAAGATTTTACTGTTTGCTGAATGGTCAGGCTCCCTTGATCTCCTTATGGTCCTGATGGCTGATGGAGATCTTCTGACAGGGCCCTACAGGGCCCCTCAGCTGTTGACTCCCTGTCACACAGGCAAACTCAGCCTCCTCTATTAAATCTCTTCTTAAAAGGTTGTTATGCAGCATTTGCCATTTTAGCACCATTTTGAAATTTTAAACACAGCAGCAGTTAATAATAGATATTTACATAAATAATGAATTCTGCTTCAGATTTGTATTTTATTTCTTTCAAATAGATTTAATAAGATTCAAAATCAGAGTGACAGGCTGCGTCTGAGTTTGTTACTGTTGTAACACAATCATTGGTCATTCTAGAGTCGTAACATCACAGTGTGATGGGCTGAGGTCTGATCTGTCATCTGTCTGCACTGACACATGCAGCTTTTACCTTCAGCTTCTGCAACATGATTGGCTGCTGTTAGACTGATTCACAGAAAGTCTACTGTCAGGAGTTAAGATCCACTGCTCATTTTGTATTTAGTCAAATCAAAAGGCTGAAGTCTAAGTAAAGTCACAGGTCATTGGTGATACAACCAAACTATTTGTCCACATTGGATCCATGACTGTCTGTTCACCTCCACTGTGACTTGATGACAAATAAGGACAAAATTTGAGGACAATTAAAACCTGAACTAATCTGAAACCTTTATTCTATCAGTGTCACTTTCGTTGTAACACCCAGCCTACCTGCTCCGTACATGCATACTTGTACTGACAAAGAGGACCATCATGCGGCTCCACTGTGTTAAAGCTGCTTTCAGTCGTAAACAGGATTTTTTCTTGTTTATTCTCTGAGAGACAGGAAGTAAAACAGCTGCTGCGACAGGCTCATTTGTTTACAGTAATTACACTAATGTCTCCAACATTTTGTGTAATTTGTCAACTCATTTAATGACGGTGCTGCATGAAATCATCACCTTAATTTTGTTTCTAAAAATATTCACTGATGATGATGAACACACACATTTTAGCAGCGTTAAGTCAAAGTATCAGTGAATCTGTGAAGCACTGACATTTTATAATATTAATGAAGGAGTTATAGTGTATAGTATAACACAGTTATAGTGTCATTTTATTTTTTCAGATAATATTCTCTTATTTATTATTTATTGCTCATACAGTCTTCCAATATTTAAACTTATTTCTGTGTGTTATTTTCAGAGACAGAGCGGAAATTTAAATGTTGTACATAAGCACACCAACAACAGACAACAGTGATGGATAATTTTGCTCTTGTACCACTTCTTTTTTTACATTTTCTGTATTACTTGAATTTATAAATTATATACTTCCTCTTCCTCTCACACACATTTTGAGAAGCTGCTGTTTCCCCCCTCTCTGTGAACGCAGGCATCAGAACAGACTCATGTAATCTAATCCAGTAAATTCTGATGTGTGTATTCCAGCACTGAGCAAGCTCAGGGTGCACCACATGTACCAGAGCAGCCAGGTGGAGATCGTGCACTCCAACGTGGTGTTCGACATCTGCAGCCTGATGCTGTATGGCACCCAAGCCATCCCCATTCGCCTCAAGATCCTCCTGGACCGCCTCTTCTCTGTCTTGAAGCAGGAGGAGGTCATCCAGATCCTCAACGCCCTCGACTGGACTCTGCAGGACTACATACGAGGATACGTACTCCAGGTGAGAAAACCTCTAGAACAACACCTGGGCGTTGTGCCTGTACAGAGACCAAAACCAGAATCTGAACTCACCAGTCAAATATCGGGCAATGTGAGCTACAGCTGGAGACACTACAAAAAAGTGCTAAGATCCACAGACACTGTTGTTCATTAAGAAATAGTTCCACAACATAAATCACAAACTGCTGCTACATTTCTGCTCTTCCGCAGGTTCATGATTCATCATGTAGAACAGCTTCAGAAGTGTTGGGAGCCCTGTGTTTGGACTGTGGACGTAGCCATGCTAGCTGTCTTGCCAGTCTTTATGCTAAGCTAACCTTAACACATTTTGTCTCCAGCTACAAACAAACAATTCCCCACAAAGCTGAATTATTCATTTACATCTCAAAACAATTCCATCAAAGTGTTTAGTTTTTTTCTTTTCAGCCCAGAGGCCGACATGGGAGCCTAAAACTCCAAGTGAGAGTATGTGATGGGAGTGACAGAGGGAATTTCTGAGGAGAAGATGGGTCAGGACAGCACGGCTAAAGACAGGAGAGAATGGGGGTGATCTCTCTTGGTGTCCCGGTGATGTGGCCGCTTATTGCTGTGGCTCCAGCGGCTCGGGGAGTTCTTCAAACTGTGCCGGCCACATTTTAACTATGATGTCTTCTCCTTCAGATTTCGTCTCAAGCCAGAGCCGAGCTGGCTGAGGCCCGGGCTTCAGGCACCGTGTCAGCGCGAGCTCTCATTTCGATTAGTACATCATCAAGTATTCAAGTTGGGCTGCGTTTAATTCATGTTAGCTCTTCTAATGGCAAACGTAGAGTCAGAATCCTCGACAGGCGCCCAATGAATGCTCTGTGATGAAATATTAATCACGGTTATGGCACGAAACCGCTCCTCACTTTCAAAGACGCCTGAACTCACATGTGATTACTGCTGGTTTTAGGGGGAGAGGAGACGCTTGATCAATGTCAGGCTGCTTCTGATCACCCCTCCCTTACCGGTGTATATGTGTGTGGTATGTTTGCGCACATATTTATTTTTGCTTGCCTTTGGGAGTGTGTACATCAGTGTACGTGTCTGCTGGCATGCTGGTATGCATGTTCTCACTGAGACGTGTTCTGCTTCTAATGCAGTGGGTAAACCTACATGATTTAAATGAAGAGAAATGACCTGCGAGATGAAACAGTGTGTGTGTAATGAGGGTTCTCAGGGTTCTGTGCTGCCTGCTTGTATTAACACTCCATCTGATTCCTTTATTTAGCTGCCCTGCCATTCTGTTTTATAGGGTGTGTCATCTAACCCACTGAATATGTATGAGCAACCCAACAGACACTTATGATGCTAATGATGAAATTGCTCTCTCTCCTTTCTCTTTTTATCACTTTCCCTCTCCTTCTCCATCTACTTCACACCCTCCCTCCCCCATCCTACACCGTGCTGCCTCTCCCTGTATTCCTGCCTTGTCTGCAGGACGTAGCAGGGAAAGTGCTGGACCGGTGGGCCATCATGACGTTCGAGGAGGAGATTGCCACGCTGCAGCAGTTCTTGCGTTTTGGTGAGACCAAGTCCATAGTTGAGCTGATGGCTCTGCAGGACAAGGAGGGCCAGGCGGTGCTGGTTCCAAGCACCCGCACCAACTCAGACATCCGCACTTTCATTGAACGCAACACCCCACGCACCGCTGCCAACCTCTCCACATCCAAAGTGGATAAGCTGAGTGGCAACAGCATGCACCACTTTGAGAACTTCATAAACAGCATGGCCTTCATGCTGCCATTCCAGCTGTTAGGCTCTGTCCCCACACCATTCCTGGGCTCGCCAACAGGGACGCTGCAGCAGCAGCACCAGCAGCAGCAGCACCAGCAGCCATGCTGCGGGTCAGTGGAGCAGCAGAGTCAGAGACGAGATGATCAAGGGCGGGACGGTCTGGGGAGGGATAACCCTCTCCCTCTGTCACGACCTCCAGAGAGCAGCCTAATTGGTTCCAGCTCTGTCTCTTTCCCTGATCTGGACAGAAGTGGAGACAAGCCAATGGACAGTCTGTCCACCACCACAAAGATGGAGGCAGAGGACTTCTCCACCAGCGACAACTACTCAGATGGGCCCTCTACACCATGCACACCATCCATGAGCTCTGATGTCACACAGATGTCACCCGATGGCAAACTGCGCTCATTGGACAGGAACGGAGGCAGTGGTGGAGGGGTCTCAGGAGGTGCGGGGGGCTCTCTGAAAAAGGGCCGTGTTTTTTGCAATGCCTGTGAGAAGACATTCTATGACAAGGGCACGCTGAAAATCCACTACAATGCAGTGCACCTGAAGATTAAGCACAAGTGCACCATCGAGGGCTGCAACATGGTGTTCAGCTCGCTGCGCAGCCGCAATCGCCACAGTGCCAACCCAAACCCACGACTACACATGCCGATGAACCGCAACAACCGGGACAAAGACCTGCGGGGCAGCATGTCTGCTGATGAGAACTCTCAAGGAGAGAAGAGGCCTGAGTATGGAACCCCCATCCCTGTCTGCTCAGCAGAAAGCCATAAATCAGTGCCCTCATACATGGTGAGCCACGTGGACACTGGCTCGAAGCTCCACAGCAGCTCATTCCCCAGTATGGGCCAGAGTGGCATCCTCTTCCCCAACTTAAAAACAGTACAGCCAGTCCTGCCTTTCTACCGCAGCTTGGTAACTCCAGCAGAGCTAGCCAACACCCCAGGAGCGCTCCCCTCCCTTCCCCTGCTGTCCTCCTCTGTACCCGTCAAACCCATCACAGCCCCTGAACACTGCATGACAGAACCAATACCAAAGAAAAAGTCGCGGAAGTCAAGCATGCCAATAAAGATAGAGAAAGAGGCAGTGGAGCGAGATGAGCAGATGGATAATGGGAGCAGCTCTGAGGATGATGGTCCTTTACAGGGCAGGGACCAGGAAGAGTGTGACGGCGGCCAGGCAGAGGGGCAGGGGTGCACACAACCAGCTGGGGAGGAGAAGGAGGTGAGAGGTGCTTACACTGGGGAGGAGAGGGAAAGAGACCAAACTCTAGATAGAGACACGACAGAGAGGAACAACAAAGATGATGGGCTGAAGCAACCTGAAGCAGGGGTCATCACCTGTGCATCCTCCCCCTTTGAGAACAGACTGATGGAGAACCACTGTGACAACAACTTACTCTGTCAGGAACTCAACGGCAATGAAAACAGGATGCGCATAAACTCATTGATAGCAGATGACAAATGGAACGAGGGTGAGCATAGGCAGACAAACGGGGGTGCTCTTCAGCTCATAGACCGTGATAAGGAGGGATCTGACGGCTGCGTAGAGGACTACAGTGACTCAGGGCTGTCTCATTTCAATCCTGACGCTGATCTACCGCACCACTGTGAAATCTGCAGTAAGACCTTTAAGAACCCATACAGCGTCAAGATGCACTACCAAAATGTCCACCTGAAGGAGATGCACATGTGCACAGTGGACGGCTGCAACGCTACATTCCCATCCCGCAGGAGCCGTGACAGGTGAGAGGCAGTGCTGTGAGTGTTCATATCCTAATTATAGATAAGCAATCTAGCACCAGACCAGTGGAATGTGCAGGCAGGGATGAGGAGCTAGAACCAGCTACTTTAGTTTGGACCTTTAAGATCAAATTATACTTTCTGCCTTCATGTAGCTGCAAGAATGGTGTAAGTCCAGGAATACACTAGATACATTGCGTGTGCGAAACGTCTTCGTTTTCATTTTGATTTCTAAACAGACAGAGAAAAGACCTGTTGATGTCATATTAACATCACACCAGCAACTTCACATAAAACTAACACCTTCCATTATGGTTTCTACATCTAGTCTGAATCTGAATATGACACAGACTTGAAAAAATACAAATATATTTTTTAACCATTTAAGGAGCTGTATGTGGAGACATTTTAGTGATGTTTTCTGTCAAAAATAAATCAGAAATGAATTTATAATGAAGAGAAATCAAGTAACCTGCAAACTCTATGACGCAGCCAGTGTGAACACGCATAAAAGATTCTTCGAAGCAGTTCAGCGACGCCAGTCACCACGCCCACACGACACAGGCAGTGTGTCAATGTTATCATCTACCCAGGTCCTCACAGACTCTGAGCAGATGTCCTGCACACAAAGAGAGAAGCCAGGTGTCCACTGCAGTTTTGTTTTCCATTTCAATTTTGTGAAATATTACTTTGTCCAATAGTCAGATTGTGCATTAAGCGGGTTAATGGTAACTCACCTAATCTGAGTCTGCACAGGTGTAGACATGTCTGCATATGCAGACACAACTATGAGCACAGCTGCTTTTCACATCAGATTATCTGGATCATTCCAGTTCATACACAGAAACAGACTTACAGAACACTGAGAGAGAGAAGCTCATACTGTTTCTTCTCTCCAGACCTGACAAACGTATTCAGATTGAGTTTCTTGCATTTTTCTGTTGCTTTGGTGTTTTGTGGTGGACAGCCTCAGTCAGCTCATCATGGTCCTGTAAGCTCCATCAGGTAAAACATGATGTGTATGATATTATGAATAGATTTTTAACACAGATTTGGTTTTTGTCTGCAGACACAGCGCAAATCTGAACCTGCACCACAAGCTACTGACCAAAGAATCCTTCAGCCCAGCCAGCATCCTTTACCCACCCTCATCCCACTGCAGAGACAGAGACTCTGTTGGTCTGGACTACTGCCAGGACCAGCGGGACAGAGACCTGCCCCATCGAGACCCAACCAGCCACACCTCTGTCATCTTCCGAGGACACAATCGCATGGGCCTGGTCTTCCCTATGAGCAAAATGTCCACTGCACCAGACAGTGCTGAGGTGTCACCCTTAGGAGAAATGGAGGGATTAGGAGAAGGAGAAGGTGGTAGAGCTGGGGAGGATGGGGCAGTCCTTGACCTGAGCACCTCCTCCTCTGCCCCCCCTCGTGGCAGCAGCAGTGCACAATCTTCCTGGGACTCAGATGGAGCCGGCAGCGATGAAGGGGAAGGAATTGAAGAGGGTGAGGAGACGCTCCCCATGGAGGACAGTGATGAAAGCTGCGATGGGATTGGCATGGCACGGCCCGGGGGTGAGGAGTTGGCACTCGTGGGAGAGAAGACTCTTGGCTGCGTTGGGGGAGGACAAGTTGGGCTTCAGGGAAGTGGGGGTGGATCTCCGATAACCTGCCACGTCTGCCAAAAGGTCTACAGCAACAAGGGCACGTTCAGAGCCCATTACAAGACTGTCCATCTACGACTGCTTCACAAGTGTAAAGTCCCAGGCTGCGACACGTCCTTCTCCTCTGTGAGAAGCAGAAACAGGCACAGCCAGAACCCAAACCTCCACAGGAACCTGGCTCTCAGCTCAGGGGCCACAATGGACCAGGAGTAGGGATCTGACTGATTTCCTCCACTCTTACTGTCTTTTTGTTGTTGTTGTTGTTGTTGTTTTCTATTTGGGCACAGAAAAGGCTCACCAATTAGCACTTTTTAAAGTCTGGACTCTATTCGATCCTCATTGTCATATTTTGTGAAATAGAAAAAAATAAAGTACAATCAGGATTCAGTCCATTGACATCATGCATCTGTGTGTGTTTCCATATCAACACGGTGCATAAAGAACAACTGAAGCTGTCACTAAATTCATTTTCAGGCCTGAGCAGTGGAGCCATGCTGAGTCTCCATCCTTCGTTGTGAAGCTGATTTCTCTGTATTGGTTTGCCTTACAGCCCAGTTTAGACCTTAAAGAAAAATAAGTGCAGGAACTGATTTTCTCTGTGTGCCATCCAAGTGAGAGTTGCGTTATGAACCTGATTTATTATCTGGTGTTTTGTCGTCAGATGTCAAATCTTCCTGTGAAGCTGTGCATTGATCAGAAGCAGAGTGAAGAAACATCTGTTCATCATTTCATCATCTGGACAGTTCAAAAAGAGTCTGTGTTAAAAAGCTATTGTGTTGTGAGCTTGACCAATAAGTTATTGTGTGGTGTTGATCTGTCTGATCTGTCTTTACTGTTGTGGTTGTTGCATTCTGCTGATGTTTACCAAAGATTTCTTCAGTCCACAAGTGTGTACAGAAACCCTTTCACACTGTGAGGGGGGATGCAGTATTAAGAGGGCCCACCCAGTCTTCTCTCATCCACTTTGTGATTCACAGCAGTATTCAGACTTGGGCTCTGATGTAAATGAAATAAGATTCACAAAACAACAACAACAACAACTTTTGACTGATCAGGGTGAAAAAAAAAATTCTGCTGTGTTTTGGTAAAATCTGCTGATGGGACCAGACCTGATGAAGACCCTGCTCTTGTTGGACCATCAGCCGAAGAAAAGACTAGAGGTGTATAAATACTATGAATAAGTCAGACACTGAGAAATGATCATGAAAAAAAATAATAGTAGATAATGGCCCCACGTGTGATCACACCCTAAAAAAGACCTGGTAAACAAAATGTTTATTGAGCTGTATATTCTGTGAATAGAGTAATTTGTTATCTGAAAGAAACCAAAAAATATACTGTATAAAATAGTTCACCACTAACATTACATGTTTTTCTTTTTTTCCCAAAAATGAACAAACAAGAACATTGTGTTGTACATGTCTGATTATTTCACCATGGTTTACTGTTCTAGATTTGCTCTGTATTTGGAATATTTTTTACATCTGTATTTAAATGCAGTGGATCTAGACTGAAGATCCCACTTGTTTGTTGTTTGGATTTGTTAAAGAAAAAAAGGAGTGAAAACAACCCATGCTGATGGTGTTCATGTTTCCTTTGATTTAATGTTACAATATTCATTCCAATTAAATAAAAAGCCATATGTTTGCAAGTCTCTTTCTATTCAATCTTCTGTCCATTAAAACATAGACATAATCATTACATTTATCATTGTGAGTGAAATTTATTACACAGAGCTTGAGCTCCACACACACACACACACACACACACAGAAATAGTGTATATTTTCACTTGTAATGATAAATCTAATGATTGTGTTTATTTGTACATATGTTTAAATATGTGTGTAATTTTATATATAATATTTTTTTATATAATTTTATTTATATAAATTTATATATATATATATATATATACAAAATTATACACATGTGATGTGTGAGTGTGTTTAAGTATGTTGATGCAAACAAAGGATTTTGGTGCTGCCTTGCTCATGACGGCAGCAGTATCATCTGATCCAGGCAACTCCCTCGAGGCCTTGTAACATGGAGCGTGAGGCGGAGCAACACTGATGAGCCTCTAACACACACTGAAAGCTACGGTGCTGCTGGCAGGATAACACACAGGCTCAACTGCAAAACATTTCCTTTTTAACATGTCAGTTAAAACAAAGGCGAAAATACAACTGTCATTTTTCTTAAAGTATAAATTCACATATTTTCTGCAGGATCAAGCCACGAGCTAGTTTTGGTTTTAAATGTCAAAATATTTGCTCTGTAGTAGAGGTGAAGGAACAAACAACGTTTAAAACATCTGTCTCTGTTATTGCAGATGATCCACCAGATGAAATAATATTCCTATGAAAACTGGTGACACGGTAAGTAAATATACTTTGCTGCAATTTGAACTGATCCTTAAAATGAATGAAGATGTCTGATGAATTACAAGAGAAAACTCAGTCATGTCATTGTGTGAAAACACGTGGGCTTTTCCCACAGATTCACAAAGATACTTCATCAGCTTCAAGAAAAATCAGGATTTAAAACTGAAGAGAGCAAATGGCTCATTAAGCAGGACTTGTTGTCAGAAGTTATCAGGCCTTGCTGCTCACAGTGTTTCTTGGTCCTTCTCAGAAAACAGGTGTTAAAAAGTTTGATTTTCATTTTAAAACACAAAAAATAAAATTGAGATAAAGGAATTTTTCATGGTCAAAAAGTGATGAGTGAAATTTAAAAAATGCTTTGATTTTCATTTATTTCATATAACAAAAAATAAAACCAACAGAAAACAGAAACTAAAACAGGCAGTTTTTATATTATGAGACTGTCCACACGTAAACTACAAAGCCTACAATCTATGAGCGTTTACAGTTATTACACTGAGATTCTTGACACACTTCATCTGAACATTATATTCATTAATAATACACCCCCTTCCTGTATTTCACTACAGACTAGTGATCACTACAGGATAAAATGGTGTCACCCACAATGTCACATATATTGAACACTCATTTGATCTGAGGAGGGCAGTGATGACAATGTGTCCATGTTTTGACTTTATTTCTGGAGATGCATGAATCAGATGGTTTAATATAAATTTGGAGCATTTCGTGTCGACCATTAAAATTTAAAACCAACAGTATAATTACGAGCTAACTCTACAGCTGTAATCAGCAGTGGATCCACTGACACTCACACAGGTCACATCAGGTGATAAAACTGAGGCAGGAATCAAATGGAGTCATCAGCACTTTATTTTATCAACTTTGACTCGACTGAGTGAATCTGACAGTGATTCACTGCAGCTCATCTTTCTATGAGTGTTTGAAACACACTGACCAAGAACAGAAGACTTCGCCATCAGACATGTTCAGCTGCTTCTAAACCTTCATTAACTACAGACTTCAGATGACTTATTGTCGATAAATTTATCATTTGGAAATCTGTTTTTCTTACTTCGTACTGTCCACTTTGCTGCTGTTTCCCCACTGTGGCACTAATAAAGGTCAAATAAATACACTTCTTTGTTTTTAATACCTGTTTCTAAAAGGAGAGTGGAACACAGACCCGCATAGAGCGTAGAAGAAGTGAAGGTGAGAAACTTCCAGCAGGCAGGAGTTTATTTGTTGGAACTGAATTACTAGTGTTTTGATTTTGTGATCTTTTCTTCTGGCTCAATAAAATGGAAGAGACACTGTAGTCACATTCAGCAGAGAGTAAAATTTGCATTGCCTCAAAATGGCATCACACTACATGACCTGAAAAAAGCTCTCACGGTTATTGAAGAGTTGAATTAATCGCTGCGATGCTGCTATGCAAAGTTAAAGGGCATGGATGAAAATGGACCAGGGACAGTGGAAGTATTGTTGGACCCATATTGAAAAAGCGAGGAGGACAAATCTGTTACACAACATGCCAAAGTATTGCACTATTACAGAGTGCTGAAAGCCTTGCATAACTCAACAATTCAACCCACCCATCACATTTACTGTACATTAGCAAGCCTGCAGAGCTGTTCCTCATCACTTAGGAGCTGAAAAACCCAGTTCTGACAAGTGGCCCCCATCCTTTTTCTCTGGTACGTTGCAGAAATCTAGTACCACTCAGAGAGGGCACAATGGGTTATTTCAGTCCCTCCTGTGTGTTGTATGTAGGCGACAATATTCAGCAGAGAACCTGGCTCATCTGAAGAGGTGGTGCACTTGCTCAACTTCCTCCACAGAGCTGTATCTGTATCTGGAACGACTTGCATCTTTAGGGCTATTTTTAAGAAGCATGGATCCTTCCCTGCAACAGTTTGCTGAAATAAACCTGCAGTGTTTAGGAACAGATTGATTCTGACCACAGACCAAAGAAAACATGTTAAACTTTTAGAAGATACACAGGAACACTGAAGCCTGAATCTGTTCATCACTATCTTGTCTTGATCCTATTCGACCCTACCTCTGTCCTAAAGCTGAGTTCAGACTGAATGTGATGACACTGGGCTGACCTACAAACAGGTTTCTGAGATCCCTTCAAACAGGTTCAGTCAAAATTATTTGGAAGAGAAAACAAAAGTGAATTGTCCGTTGTGAACATCCATCCTGTTTACAGACATCTACGGCTTCAGCTGCTCTACCTGTGGAGGATCTGCAAACACGTGTTTTTCTTCTTTTCTTGTAAGGATTATTTTGACTGACAGAAATTAATCTAATTGAGTCTTTTTTTCTTTTTTTATCTTCAAATGACTGAAGACATTTGTCAGTGTGCAAAGATTTTTTCAAATTTGTAGAATTTATTGTCATTGTCTTAAAAGAAGTGAGAAAAAAATCCTTTTATCTGTCAGCTTTTTTCATTTGTTTTAAAAGATAGATAAATATTAGATTAAATGACTTAAAGTTTTATTCATTTATTTTTGTACACTTGGGGCAGTGAAACAAGCTGTAAATAAAAGAACATTCTGCCAAGAGCAGCAGGACGTTTCCTGGAGGCCTGAGCTCGTTTCAGTCTGTGAACAGTCAGCTTGACCAGCGATAATACAGAAGGAAGGAACGAGCTGACACACCTGTCAGACTCTCTAGACCACATCACTTACCTCACCTGTTTTGTAATGTCGACCTTACAGAACTGCTCATGTTTTTGTGTATCCACAATGCCAGTGCTGCTGCCACCATCTTTAAGCACGGAGCCTTCCTTGGGTAATAATCCATTCACTCACACATTCACACATCACACGCCTACACTGATGGAACAGCCATCAAGAGCAGTTTGGGGTTCAGTATCTTGCCTGAGGACACTTCGACATGTGGACTGGAGGAGCAGGGGATCAAACCACCAACCCGCCCCACCTCCTGAGCCACAGCCGCCTGAGTTGTGGTCTGGGAGTAAATTTCCTGTCTTGAATTATTTTTTCAATCCAAACAATTTCTTAATTACACATTCAGCAGACATGGAGCAGTGTTATCATGTCTCTATCCAGTGTTAACTCTCTACTCGTCTGTTTATTGGTCACCATCAAAAACATCTGGCTCTTCAGCTGCTGAATGCTCCTGAAAGTGGAGCATGTTCCTGACTTGATCTGCATTTGGAGTTGGGCAGGTCAGAGGTCAGAGCTGCAGCAGTAAAACCAAAACAATGAGCTGAAAGGGGCTAAAAGGCAGGAGCTGTTTGATAACTCTATAGTCAACACCTTTCACATTACATTACATTATTACAGTCAACTGATCTATTGCTAATATAAAAAATCTTCATTATTGATCATTCCCAGAGCTGCAGTGTCTCTGGGGTAAAAGTGAAAAGCTTCAAACTTCTTCAGTTCAGTTTGACAGTCTTCAGTGTGATGTAAACCAAACATGAGAACACATCACCTGATTGCTTTCCTGAAAGTTAGATTCTAAAGCAGCACCTGGAATGATATGTGGATATGCGCACATTACTGTGAGAACCCAAACAGTGAAACTGAGCCCTGCAAACAACACTGAGGCTGATCCTGCCACATGTTCCAGAGAGAGGGGTCTTTCTGGGGCATTGACACCGGATCCCACCTCTCACTCCTGGGATGGGGATGAAGCTGTCAGGGGGGGGGGGGCTTGGTGCTTGGGAAGCTGAAGAATATGAGGGGGTATTACCAGCTCAGCAGCCAGATGGACAGCAGATGACTTTTGTTCTTCGAAATACTCTGCAGGCCGAGGGAGGAAGAGAGGAGCTGGAGGTGGAGAGGAGAGAAAGTATGTCCCCCCAGTACATCCTGCCATGAAATCACTATATCTTGTGCATAGCTCTTACAACCACCTTTAGGATCATTAAGATTTCACATTAAGATGTGAAGTTTTATACAATAAAGAAAGACACTAAATTCAATTCAAAATTCAACATTCAATTCACAGATAAAATCTCAGCTGACTGATGATAACCAGTCTGATGGCCTGCAGCCTTCATTCAGCTGTGTACACAAATTAAAATCTAATAATCATCCAGCTTCACCACAGTGGGACCTGCTGCAAGTCTGCCCCCTGCTGCTGGGAACCAGACCTTCACTGGTTCTGATATCTGCTCCTCTGCAGTCATGTGCTGCCCCCTGCTGGTGCAGAAGACCAATCACATGTTCCTGATAAGGTTAGGTGAGGTGAGGATTGAAATGTTGAAATAAGATACTATGAAGGAAAAATACAAATAAAGGTTGAGCCATTAAAATAATAATTCAGTCGAAATAATGAACTGAGCGAGAGATCAGAATAAATTATATTCAGACATAAGTACAGACTGTCCTGGCATTTTTATACATTTGTTAAGTAGAGAAAATTCATTTTTAGTGCTTTACACAATGGGAGGGGATTTAGTGCAACAACATTTATTTATAGACTATAGTATTTAGTTATGATGATGTTATTACTAACTATAAATTCAACCTGCTTGTTCTTCATGATGACTCCTAAATGATTAAAAGAGAATGAATCTATATTCATGGATTTCGGCTTCAGACAAGGAGTTCCATCAGTTCTGGATTGTGTCAGAAACATAAAACAGCTGCTCTGTTGTTTCTGCATTTACGTGGGTTTGCTGTGGTGAAACTACAACAGTGTGTCACTTTAAATGTTTGCAGCAAGGAATTGTGTGACAGCATTTCTCCTCTTCTTTTGTAAAGGAAGGTGAGGGGTTTCTTATGCTAAAGGAGATAAGATAGGAAGCTCCTTTCCTTATTAAGAGAAGTGGACCAGCTCTTATCATGGCTGCTGCTCAGATATGTCAGGTCCCTTTACTCAGTTACAACCTTTCTCAGAAAAAAAAACTTTTCAACCACAGGCACAGTGTCTAGAAATTACGCAGCAAAGTGAGAAAACACAACCAAATACTGACGCGGTGCAAGTGGCACAGAACATAAATAAAATACATTTAGACCATGAGATCTCAAAGTTAAACTAGACCTGTTAAAACATACATGACACAGCCCTTGTGATGTTTAAAACTGTTGTGAGGAAACATCTGGCAATACCACCCTCTTCTTAAAGTCCTGGAAGTAAAGGGGCAGGTTGTGGATCAGTTAGGAGCCTTTACATTCTTGGCTGTAGAAACAAATAATATGGAGTCTGGTCATTTTCTGTTGTCTACAACAGAAGCCCAGCTGTTCCTCTTTTTGCTGAGGACTCAAGACGATTATCATTTTAGACATTTGAATCAGGAGAGACTAATATGAGAAGTTTGAAATCAAAAGGAAATTATTGTGAACAGAAGGAACAGGCTTTGTTCGAAGCACCTGGTCAAGACTCCACTCCTGTGCTAGATAGTTCTGTCCAACGGTAGTGCTACTCATGCTCTAGTTTCCAGTGTTCTTTAGTGTGTCGTTTGCCTGCAGGTTTTGTTGCTGCCAGTCTGCAGCCTTGCAGTGACACAGCTTTTGAGCTTTCCTTACCTGCGTTTTTTCTTGCGTTCAGATTTTGCCAGTGGGCCTCGTGGCTTTGCCAACCTCAAAGTCTCCAGAGTTCCTGTGTTCTTCTGTGTGTTCTGCCATCCCACTCTGCTGCCAGAACTCCACCTCAGAGCCTGCCTGCCCTCCTTATATACCACTTGCCGTTTCGCCACGCTATTTGCCATTAACAGACTAAAATTACTGTAAGTTTGGAAGATCAACTATCAACTTGATTTGGCTTCAAGTCAAATTAACCTCAGCAGAACTTCAGGAGTCGTTTTTACTCAAAATGAGGACTGTTTGTCCTCCAGCTGTTGCATTGAGGCTGCTTTACAACCGCCAGGACCTATCTCAGTGTACATGTGGGGAGATGAAAAATGTTCTAAGACAATGTTGACAAAATATGAACATCTTCTCAAGTTTAATCACAACATGGAAAATGAATATGTTGGAGACGGATAGAATATATTGTATGAGAGCATACATTAACATATAAGGTACTCAGAGGGCTTTTTAACTGCAGACATTTTGAGTCTCTAGCTCTGGCAGTTGCAGGCACGGAGGAATAAAAAGCATTTTTTGTCTCTTGAGATATACACTGTTGCCCATAAAGTTGGAATAATTTTGTTTTCAGACACAATCCTCCTCTGTTTATTCCATTTAAATGCATTAGTAATCAGTGATTACATTATGTGTCCCAATTACCCAGGTGAAATGAATTCATGCATAACATTTGTTTGGCACTAAAAAAATATTTAAAAAAATATTTAATTCCAACTTCATGAGCAACAGTGTATGTTCTAGTTTTCTTCAGATTTGTATGAGGATACATGACATTTTGCTCTGTCCATGCAGTGCTTATTAAATGTGTGTGTAACATATAGTCAAATCATCACATTTAAAAATTTTGTTTTTAAGTTTCTAAGATGTTTGTTCAAGAATCTGTGTTCATGTGAATCATCACATTTTTTATACACCCAATTCAATTCTGTGGGGGAAATGATTTATTTGAAATAGATTGAGAATGCATTTTAATAGTTGAATAAATGTTTCAGTTTAATATTTTCTCATAATTTGTTTTTTTTGTGCCCACCCTGTTATGCATGGGTCTACCCTGTCATATTGACATTTTTAAAATAATTCAATCATCCTGTGAAATATCTGTAGCCTATAATCTAGTGTGTTCAGTAGCTAAGTGGGGGGCAATTATATGCAAATTAAAAACTGCATCAGTCTTCTCCAAAATAAAACATTAAAAACAGATGGTTTACATACAATATTTTATTTGTTTATATCTTGAAAGAAAACAAATAATGCTGTTTAACAAATCATAGCTTTCAGAAACAATTTTCATCTTAATATTGTAATGTAGACATGTTTAACAGTGATGTATATGTCCACGACAGGTGGACAAATTGAATGGTTTATTCGCCAAATTTTGGCTAGCTCAGCTAATGTATATTTATTAAGTGTCTTAACTTATGAGAAGACATAAAGAAAATGGGACATTAAGTCAAAAATGTGTGAGTATTGTGAAGGTTGAAAGTACCACCCCTTGTGAATTTAACTAAACAGAGTCTCTTACTTCACTGACAAGTAGACTGCACTTATTTCTGTGAAAAGTCATTTTTATCGGCTACAGAGCTAGCTTAATCCTGTCTTTTTCCAACAGTTGTTTGTCAAGATATTTCCGACGCTTTTGAAGTCATCATTCCTCTCCACCGCGGTTTCCTCCGCACGAGCAGCTGTCAGCCAATGGGCTTTTAGAAGTGGCGACATCTCTGCGATTCAGGAAACCCTCTGCTCCTCCGCCACTCGATAAATGAAGCAAGACTACGTACATCACGTTTCCGGTCAGTAGTTTCAAAATAAAACCGAAACGGGCCAGTGTTCGACAAACTTTCAACAAGTTACGTATCCTTGCGAAAATTACACAATGATATTTAAATGCTATATGTAGTATGTAGGCTACTCTGCAATTATTGGAAAAGCCCAAGAGTGTAGTTTTTTAACAGACTTATTTGTGTTAGTGTATGGAGTATGTTCAGCCAATTGGACCTTCTATTGAGGAAGTAATTACTGTATCTCTAGTTCACATTACAAAAAAGGGCTTTTGTATAGAAATCACATATATCTAACCATATAGAGAATAGAGAATAGTGGAAAACAGTAAAAGTGGATTGGTCACAAAACCAGTCGCAATGACACACAGTAAAACAATAGTCATATCCTTGTTAGAAAAGCAATAACATTAAGGAAGAAAGGCCAATTTTCAGTGTTTGAGATGACACTTTTATTTTGAAGATGATAAAAGTATTTCTGGTATTGTCAAGCTTTGCGGCGATAACTTGACTCAGGTCTTGCTGCAATCTTGAGCGGTGGTGACCGATAAGTGCAGTGTTGTATACTCGGTTTGAGATTTCTCTAACGTAGATATCACCAGTTTATTCAGTATTTTGAGGAACATTTCATGCAGAAGTGAAGCGTCACACGTTACAGGATGTCTGTGGCCGGACTAAAGAAGCAGTTCCACAAAGCCAGTCAGGTATGGAGACGCCTGTTATTGCTCGTTCATAACAACAATTGATTGGATGTGGACCACGTAGCTAACGGTAAACGAAATTAGGTTTCAGGTGATTAGAAAATGTTAAAAGTAACCAACTTTAAATTCTTACTTTTAACTGTGTGACATTGTATCGCCGATTCAGATGCAGTTTAAATGCATTTTAAGCTCTCTGTGTATCGTTACTTTTTTCATTCGGATAAGTTGGTGTTGTAGGGAGGCAACGTCACACCAAACTCCGTTGAAAAATCTCAAAATTAAACGGACTCTCACACACAGGGAATCACACATTCGTGGTTTGACATAATTCAACAGCGTTTAGGAAAAACTGAACTCCCATGGATGTTTCGGTTCTATTATTGACCTCTAAGTTCTCAGTTTAACAGCACGTCACATTTCACGTTTGACCTGGTTCTAGTTGTTCCCAAACTAGAATCAGTGGGAAATACTGTGGTTATACTATTTAGGGGGAAAGATTTTAGAAAAGTGTAATAAACGAAAATCTTTGCTTATTTAATGATAATATTCTTTAGCTATGTTACAACACTTAACACACCTGCATTAACATGTTGTTGTTTTACGTATCGTGATCTCTAAAGGAGCGATAACCGCCTCTGAATCTCTAAATCTGAGACCTTCAGACCACATGTAAGCTGTAGTAACTATTAACGGCGGTTTATATACGGTCGGTTTAAGCTAACTGTATTCTGTCCAGATGTTATCTAAGGTCTGGATCACCTGAGGGTGTATATTGTTCGCCTTCTGGAGGAGTAGTTACAGAGCTGCCCTCTGTAGACAGTCAAGTGTTTCAAATTAAGACATGTAGGACCATTCTAAATTTTGACCCAGACTCAAATTCAATACACTTTAACGTTACTTATGAGAATACCACTGGGTAGGGATTGGCCTGTTATTCCCAAAGTCTCCTGCCCCAAAATACACCAGGGTGGGTGGCCGTGAGTAACTGTGAACCAGCTCTAACATTTAGATAACATGTCATTGGAGACAAATGTTGCCTGGTGGATCATCGGTTTGTCTAAATGAGCACTGGCTCTCATAGAATCACAAAGGTCTTAAGTGTTGTTTAAACCTTTAAGAACATTTGCTGGCGAGCCAACACCAGATTTTCAGGTGGAAATGGATTGGATTAGACTGGAGTTTGGCATGAGGTTTTTCTTCCAGGCTTCTGGTCCATCTGTTAGGTGTTCCTGATACGTTTGCAAAATTTCAAACCTATCTATGCCAAATATCCTGATTGCGATAGATAGATAGATAGATAGATAGATAGATAGATAGATAGATAGATAGATAGATAGATAGATAACATTCATTCATTCATGTGTCCATTAGCTCATTGTTGATAATAAAAAACAGTTAAAAATAAATAAACAATAATAATTAGATTAGTCCACTTCCTTTGGCTGAGGTGTTGTATAGCCTGATGGCAGTGGGAACAAAGGATCTCCTGAACTTCTCTGTTCTGCAGCGCAGTGAGATGAGACATTTACTGCAGCTGTAGCTGATTCTCTGTCCTGCCAGAATGTTGTGGAGAGAATGGTTGGTATTGTCCAAGATGGCCTCCATCTTACATTGCATGTGTCTCTCCACAATAGTCCTGAGTGAGTCCAGACTACTGCCAAGCACAGACCCAGCCTTTTTGACCACTTTGTCCAGTCTCTTTGTTCATGTCTGACATGCTGCTGCCCCAGCAGACTGCAGCATAAAAAAGTACACTGACCACCACTGCCTGATAAAACATGTGCGGCATTTCATTGTAGACGTCAAAGGACCTGAACCTCCTGAGGAAAAAGAGCCGGCTCTGCCCCTTCAGGTAGATGGCATCCGTGTTCAGGGATACTGTCCATACTATCCAGGTGCACACCTAGGTATTTATAAGTGTGCACCACCTCAATATCCTTCCCTCGAATGTTTACTGGCTGAAGGGTGGGCCCAGGCCTCTGAAAGTCCATGACCATCTTCTTGGTCTTGGAGGTGTTCAGAAAGAGGCAGTTATTATTTCAACTGCATGTATCACTCTGCTTTACAGGTGTTCCATTAACTGTTAATTGGGGCTGGGATGATTATCCGACATAATCGACGTTGTCGATTATAAAAATTATTCGACGTGGAATTTTAGTGTCGACGCGTCGTGTAAAACCACACAGGGTAAATGTTCATAGAACAAAACCGGAACTTTCTAATGGGACCGTTTATATCCATCGTCTTTGGTTTACCCGGATACAAGCGCAGCGCAAAGGCTGGGACAACGCGGTGACGTAATTGAAGTCATTGACTACGTGAATGATTTGCGTCTGTGTAATCTATTTGAACAACATGGCGGCGTCTACCAGCAGTAAGACGGAGCATGTGGATCAACACGCGGCAAAAAAGGCTTGCACACGGTCCTCCAAAGTTTGGGAATACTTTAATCTTGACACCAACAGTGCGGTAGTCTGCAGACTCTGCAAAGTGCATCTTCGTTTGTGTGTGTTGGACGGGGCAAATTGTTATATTAAATGACTAACTGGAAAATAATTGCAATAAAATTACTGTTAGGTTAATAAAAAAAAATAATCGTTAGATTAGTCGAATAATCGAAAAAATAATCGCTAGATTAATCGTTTAAAGAATAATCGTTTGGGACAGCCCTACTGTTAATCAGCATTACATTCATGGTCGTAATCTGTTTTAGATTGTAACAAACTTTGAAAAGATGAAAATATTTCCAGAAATAACATTTGTATTAAATGATGTCTGGTTGTCAGGAGAGGATGAAGGGAAGAAGCCTGGATAGTTCAGTGCACACTTGAGGTAACGTGTAAACAAATCAGCAAGCTAGTGTGAACTGTGCTAGTCCGGAAAATGTTTATGTGTTGCTTAGCAACAGTCCAGTACCAGTCCCGTTTGTGTTGGTGTTGCCAAATAAATGATGAAATAAACAAACAAATCATAATCTGTTGATGCTTAACTAATATGGCACTCGTAGAACTGTTGTATAAAAACATTTGTCTTCTGCAGCCTCTCACCTACAACTGAATCATGGCCATACTGATATTCAATACAACTTCACTCTCTATCATGTGATATTGCTTAATTAATTTCCAACGACCGGAAACAGAATCTCAAAAGACAGTTCCATCAAGTGTCTTTTTGCGCTCTCATCACTTTTTTCATGTTCGTGTTTGGAAACTAGGGTTAGTCACTTAACAGTGTAATTGATATACCCGCAGCTGTTAGCAGCAAAGCAAAGGAGTCATTAGATTTACATTAGATGTGGCTCTTAAATACAAAAGGATAGTTACTTACACTTTATACTTTTTTCGTCAGTAACAAAAAACATGTTTTCTTTAAATGTGTAGCTGTATGTTTATGAATTATACAGGATAGATTGATATGGTTATTTATGTAGAGGTTTGAAATTGTTCATTGTCATATTAATAGTCTATCAATCATAATTTGGAATTATAAAATAAATTAAACTATTAAACTATTAAACTATCTTAACCTTCAGCTAAAATCTAAGTGAATGGATGGAATATTAGCATGATCAATCTGCTGATTATTGCCTCGTTATCTACATTGGTTATTGTGTAAAATAGGCTAACAAAGACTATAATATCAGCTGTGTTTGGCAATATATAATTAATTAAACATTCATTGCCTTTATTCTGATAGCCACAGGGAGAGAGAGGATAACATGCAGGAAATGCCACAGGTCGGGCTCAAACCCATGCCACTGGAGTTTTGTGTAAACTGGTGGCCAGGTGAGCTATAGGAGCGCTGTATTACTGACTTCACCTGAAGAAGGTGAGCATATATGTATTTTCTCATGCAGCGCTCGTCAGTTACTGCTCATTGATAAACTTCTCCAGTCCACCTGTAGCTGTAACTGGTTTAGTTTTACTTGCATACAACATACATACATTATTCATGTATTATACAGGATCGGTGGTAACCCTAATCAGTAGGGTTTGCTCCACTGCTTGAATAGTGTAGCGTAATGCAGCTTGTTCAAGCGTGGTTTGAGTTAACATTGACTAGGCTCGGCTAAATTTTGTTAATGGAATGGCTTGAGCCTGAAGTGAGAGTCAATATTAATTCTAACTGGGCTTATTCAAGAAAGCACAGATTTCCTTAGCGATGTTGATGGAATACCCCCAGGGAGACACTGGAGTGTTTCCCACACAGAGACTTAATTTGGGCGGGCCGCCAAGCTATATTATTTATTTAGCTCAACCCTCATAAGACACCAAAATACAGTTACAGTTCTCACAAACTTCATTTCATTACAAAATGACATGATATTTTACAGGTCATAAACAAAATATTCTCCTCTCCCAAACAGGGCAAATAACCTAGAAAAGAAAAGAAGAAAGAAAGTTCCCCTTCTAAAGCACAGCTCAAGTTTTTCATAAACATCAGGCCAGAAGAAATGAGCATAGATAGAGGTCATTTTACTAAAAAGTACAGCTCTTACATCGTAGGAGGCAGGACAGAAAAACATAAAGTGAGCCTTATTCTCTGTTTTACCTTCTATAGCACACACAACAAACCCAGTGTGTCCTCCTCATTGGCATTGCACTTGCAGCTCTCTGGGCTGATGGTGGTTCAATGTAATGGTGCACATAATGATCTTTGTCTTCTGTTTGAATTATACTTCACATCAGCTTCTACCCTGTACTTTTTCTTTATGAGACAATAACTTAAAATCTTTTGTTAAAACCACATATCAACAGACCATTTCACAGAGTCACATGTTCTGAAGGATAAATGAGAAATCATTCAAATAAAATAAGGATTTCAGCTCATTAGCCAGGAGACAGCCGAGTGAAGTGTCAGACGTATTCACAGGTGTGTTCCAGAGTGAAGTATTTAATACTTATGTCTGATGTGTGGAGGTTCATACATCTCCACTAATGAGCAGAGCTGAAGGACATCTTTGGGCTCCAATAAATCTAAAAGCTCTGTGATGTAGTGTTAAA